ACTGACTTTTAACAGGCACCGCTTTAGAAAACCACCCTCGCATAATGGTCTCCCTGATTTAGCTATTTCTTCAGCCGTGATAAAACTCGTCTTCACCACAGTTCCGTTTCTGAGGGGAGGGGAGGATGCTTATACTCAGTTGTTGTGTGATGCTATTGGAGCTAAGGGCTCATGGGAATTGGAGGTCCTGCTGTCGCGGGACTCATACAATAGACCGGGAAATGTCTTGCAAGGGCCGGATTAAAGCGGCTTGCAGGCTGTGAGTTTGATACAGACTCTGGGCAATTACCACACCATTCAGGGGTAACGTGGGATTGCATTGATTGGCCAATTACACCCAATTTTTAACACAGATTCACCCGTCTTCTTGGGTGTTACTGGCCAATCAATGCAACTTAACATCCATACAGCCCTTGACTCCTTGTGCCCAAACATCCATCCTTCTCACTCTGTCATACTAGCACAAGAACTTCATTGACCCCAGTTACCAAAACCCTGTGTCCAGCCTCACTGTTCTCCAAAAACAACTCCATTTATGTACAGTACCTCCTTCTGCCACAGTAAAATATCGGTTTAGCCCTAAGCTTCCTCTTGAATCCTGAAAACTGACCTGAACAATGTAGTGCCTTATGCTGCCCCACTCTACCTAGTTTTCTCCAAGTCCAGCATCAGGTTGGGGGTATGTGACTGACTACTGTAGATTATGCCTCGCCGCTACACTACCCAGCTTGAGTAGTCAGCCAAGTTAAAAAAAAAAAACACTGTACTATCAGAACAGGAACAAAATAAGTGTAGGAAACCAAAAACAGTGCAAGCTTTCTGCTTTTCTTTTAAAACAGCAGGCCAGAACAAAACTCAATCAAAAATAAGTACATCATCCAGGTTATACACTATAAGCCCCACCCCTGATGGACAGGTTTACCTCCATTTTAAGGGGTCGGTCAACAGACTAATGTTATAATGGACACAATGTGGTGGAACAGACAGACACAAGACAACATTGTGGATCTGCAACATGTAACCCACAACAAAATACGACAATTCGCATAATACAAAAATAACATAGCAATAGATTCTACAAAAAGAACTATAAACAAATGTCCTGTGACAGGCCACAAGTCCATGCCCTTCGTCATGGGGGAGCAAGACATTAGAGCCTTCATCTACTGCTCTGTATTGTGTCTCTGGGGTCCATATTATCTCCTGAGGTCCAATACTGCACTCTTTGTTCCCCTCAAATCCGTTCAAATTTTGAAGCCCCCCTAGCCAAAGCTCAGGTCTTCTCCTTGTGGGGGTGGAAGTGTCCCTTTGCTGTCTTGGGTGTGGGTAGAGCTAATCCATTGGGGCTCATTGATCACATGTCTGTATGACTGTGATCAGGTGTAATCATGTCTTCTTTGTCTGAGGCCCAGTTAGATGTGTCTCACAATCCCGAATATCATCTCTGATATAGTGAAGTGTAGTGATTAACAAGTGTCTGCACAAAGAAGAGCTTTGATCAATGGGAGGAAACTAAAAGAACAAAGCGAGAAATGCAAAAGCCCTTAGGGAAGCAGTGGTCATTCAATGCAAACTTGAATTGCTTGACACCTTTTGTGTGATACCCAAATTTTGTTTCTCTGTGACATAAGCTTTGTCATAAACATAGCTTTAGCTTAAAGATCTGATTTGACTTAATCAGCTTTATGCACAACAGTTCTTTTTACAACGTGCACATAATGTACATTAGAACAAGTAAAGGTTTATTCCATGCTGAAAAGAGAAGAAACATTTAAGCTGTGGAGCCTTTGTCAGGTGTTTGTACTGTACACTGTAATGCAGAACTGTACATTAAGCTAGCAAGTGATTAAATAAGGAACATGGCCACTTTTGGTTTATTTTACCATTTAAAAAAAAACAATGTATGTTTAATACATTTTTATTTCAGAGTGATTTCCATAAAACAATGCCAAAATCTGAGTTTTCAGGTTTTGATTTCAACACGTTTGATGTTATCAGGTGAAAATAACATTGTTGCAAATTGGTAAGCCTTTTGTTAACCTTTGGGAAATCATGCCTAACCTGTATAGA